TAAGACTTGGATCTGCTAAACGTTAGACAGTATTGCGACAAAATATATCCGAAAATGACTGGAACTTCCTGTCTCTGCAACCCTTAGCAACGTGTTGCTTCCACAAAATAAATTGGTCTGAATATTATTCTCCCTTCGACAAAATTTATCAAATGTCAAACTGTCTCTCGATCAGCTTTAAAATACTCACCAAACGTAGATATTAACAATCTATGGGCGGTGACGAACACCAACAAGAACGTACAGTATGACATTTACAAAGACACAAAAGACGTACTTAAGGCAGTTAGAAAAGAAAACGAACAAAGACTTCAAAACCACCTCATTTCGCAAGGTTCTTTCTTTTCCATTATCATGAATTATTCCACATCCACATTCAACTCTTTATGGTCATCCGTTCTGAGCAAACTTCCGAAAAACATTTTTAACTACACCATCCGATATATTAATAACACACTTCCAACACGAAAGAACCTATCAAAATGGGGACTATCATCAACATCCGATTGCTCTTTCTGTTCCTCACCTGAAACGCTGCTACATGTGATTGCTGGATGTAAGACATATTTAGACGGGACTAGCTAACAGTCGTGGGTCGTGGGTCGTGGCTACATGTGATTGCTGGATGTAAGACATATTTAGACGGGACTAGCTAACAGTCGTGGGTCGTGGGAGTCGTGGGTCGTGGGTAGAATGTCGTGGTGCGATGTAAGTCGTGGGTCTGGTCGTGGGTCGTGGGTAGAATGTCGTGGGTCATGGGTAGAATGTCGTGGGTCGTGGGTAAAAAGGCGTGGGTCGTGGGTAAAAAGGCGTGGGTCGTGGGTAAAAAGGCGTGGGTCGTGGGTTAAAAGGCGTGGGTCGTGGGTTAAAAGGCGTGGGTCGTGGGTAAAAAGGCGTGGGTCGTGGGTGAAAAGGCGTGGGTCGTCGAATACAAAGTCGTGAGTTCCAAGCAAAGTATTTCCATACATTTACCTTTCTTTGGAATGCGTGTTTTTTTTCTTCTGAGGCTTCCCCAAACTATGCCCAAATATGCATAGTCTTTGAGTCATAGAGCGCGTTAAGGCTGGGTTTTTGATATCGGCAGATCGGTTTAAAGTGTCCCTGTCACAAAATGAGAGTTTATACTTTCGAAATCTATGATACAAAATATACGGAAATTCGAAAACAGAATCGAAATTGCTTTTTTAGTGTAAAAGTTATTGCCGTTTAAACATTGAATTTGGCCTTGTGAAAAATCTGAAAACCGCGCAAAAGAGACTGGGACGAAACAATGCGTGTGACGTAATAGTAGGAACTTATCTAGCTCACTGATGTAGAAATACTATTGCATGACTATCATAGAGGAGGCAATAGCGCAAATAAAAGTCACGAAATTGAAAAATTGCCGAATATATGTGTAGTAGGCGGTTGTTCTAATGTCACAAATACAGAGAAAGGCATTTCACTTCATTTTATACCTTATACTGGAGGCGAGATGCACGAAGCGAAAAGGAGACGGGTTGACTTCGTGCACCTTAAACGAGCAATGAGATCCAATGTTCAGCATACTTTGCGAAGATAGAGTTTGCTGGTAAGACCACGGTTAGCTACCGACGAAATTGGTTTCGCTGCAATTCCAAAATATACAAATACTGTCGACGACAAACCTTTGTCTGCGAGAGCCAAGAGAATGGTATATGTATAATTGATACTCTAATTTCGTTTATCATGCACTGCTTCGATGCAGTCAACCGATACGGTCATAGTCACGAAACTGGAAAGCGCGATAAATATAAATGAGCCACAGCCAATGGATTCACCAGAAATATAAAATATCGCGACAATATAGCTATGAGGACTATGAGCAAATATGGTCAAAATATAGCGGACGAAAGCCAATTTCTTACGTCTACATTACAAGCAATGTGTACTGTTTGTATTTTAGTTTAGACAAGTAAAATAGAATTGTATAAGTAAACTTGACGCAGTAAATTATACATATATACACTCGTTGTGTTTGCACCGCAGTGAAAACCCGTACAATATGCAGATTTTGTAACAAATTGTGGCATGAAACCAGATACACTGTGGGGTCTGTATAAAATGTATTACAAAGTATATTCCGTTGAAGCAACTTAATGAAATAACTTAGTCATTGCCACATTTGCTAGTATAAGGCAGTGCCTGGAACGAAATACAAGTCAGAAAAATTCCTAAACGCGCTGCAACACTTTACACAAATTAACCCGCACGCACGAAGTGCAGGAAAACATCAGATACAAATCTTAATCTCAAATTTCAGTCTCTTTGGCAAAACAATATTGAAGTCATGAATATAGCAAATGTGCTGTTTCTACACGCAATACATATAATATTACTACGCTTATACAGTGTAATAGGTTTATTTATTGAAAAATAATTATATGATATCTAGAGCTGTCCTCTACAAATCTCACAAAGTCTTCATTAATAGCAGGCATTATTTTCTCATATGCGCAAAAATATCTATTTCCGAGTTGTCCATAAACCATCCACACAAAGTTTCTATATGCTGTGCTCCTTCAGAATCTATAAATTAATAAATAAGTCTTTTTAATAAGTCGCTTACTTACATGTGAACACATGTAAATATATAATTCAATAATTGTACAGTATGCACCATATATAAACTCTCAGTTACCGTACCGCATGCGTGTGTTCACTGATAGTAAACTTGGGTACGGTAAAGTGTTTCTTAATTTCAATATGTTGATAAATAAAACTTTATTTACCTATCTTCTGTGCTTGTTTGACGATATTCCTGTTTCTTTCTTGTTCGTAATTTCGTGGCTGCTGAACGGAGGGCTCACTTATCTAGTCATAAGCTGTTGAATTATATACATGATGGCGCGACTTCAGCTTCTTGCATCACAAATCACAATGTCACTGTGTAGAGAATCGACGCACTCCTCAATTTTCATACAACATTGACACTCTTTAGCATAATTTACGAAGCAGTTCAATGTGATACTTGCCAGGCAGCATTGACACTCTTTAGCATAATTTACGAAGCAGTTCAATGCGATACTTGCCAGGTTTACAGTTACACTTGAAATATTATAGTTTGTAATTTGAATACAACACAAGGTCAAGTCACGCAACAAACTCAGAGTGAAATATTTACCATTTACTCAATTCTTCTGAATTATCAAGCCTTTGTTGTAGTTGCTTAAGACGTTCGTCGTGATTGCTTTTTTTCGCGGTAACTTTTGAGCCAATCTTCGTCGGGCAATGGTTCATTAACACATGAACCAAAGTCGTGCGCACGAATGATCGGCGCTGCTTGACTACGCTTCACTGGTGTTTTCATCGATTTCACTCGATTTGATACGGCCCACGAATATAATTTCAGTCAGACATCGCTTTGGTAACTGTTATTTTCCGTATCTGAACTCGACGAAGACATTTGTATCGAATTTTGACCAACTTGATTGTGATTCTCACTTAGTATTTATATACTTTTCACTTAGGCGAGAAGGCAATGTGTTCCTACTATGACGTATTAGTTACCAATTTCCCAGCTTCGCGGTTTTCAAAAACTTTTGCCGTTAAAATTTGAAATTTTCAAATTTCATTGCCTTATTACTCTGTGAAAACAAGCTCAATTTTAAATCTGTTTTGTATTTTCATAATCTACCGTTCAAGACGATTCTAATGATGTAAACTCTCATTTTGTGACAGGGGCACTTTAAACAAATTATAAAGAATCGAACAAGGGGATCAAACACTCGCAACGTCAGATCATGCAACCTTAACTATCATCTTAAATTCCAAAGTCCATGCATGTACTTAAGAAAAATTTTACAAGGAAAGTGAAGGTTAAACTATTAAAACAATCTTCCCTACAAGCGTTTGAAGAACATTTAAAACATTATGATTGGTCACCTGCCCGTTTGGAGGATTGTCAGGGGATTTGGCAGTTTTGGCTCTTATCAGTCTTGCACATAGGTGGTATTCCGCTGTGGAAGAATATGGTGATGTGGAAAGAATAAATTTTCTTGACTTTCAAAAGGCATTCGACCTGATTGATCATAATAATTTATTACATAACTTGGTGTTAGGCCAGCCTTGATATAAGATCATATCTCCTGGGTAGATAACACGTTACAAAGATCGAACAATCGAGGAGGGTGGCTTCCTTAATGGATTTTCCTGAAAAGGAAGTTTGAAATCAATAGGAACTTGATGATTGTATTCTAGGGATTCGTTGAGACTGATTAGGGGAAAAATTCAACGCCTTTAAGAACATTAAAAGTTGATGAACTAATGGGATATGTGTCAACCTTGTTTCGACTTCATTCACAGTAACTGACACTCCTGGGACTTGAAGTAGGGATTTTTATTCGGTAATATTTGGCAATTTCCATGCTTTCGAATTACCTTTCGTATGCTGACCGTCGCGGGATTTGGTGACCACCCCATCACGGTGTCCTGAGAACCAGACTTCATCTCACCCAACCCCACGAGGTGTTACACGCACGTCTTCTCGACGAGCTCCAGTACGGACACGAATTCCTCCCTGTCCTTAAGATAAATGGGAAGAAAGTACGACGGCTCCCGATATTTGTCGTTCTTGCTCACGCCATATGTCTGGCAACTTTCAACTTTCAGGATAACCCGTATTTGTTCTTCGCGACATCTCCGAAGACAAAAGAATCTTTTCCGAAATTTGCAACCTTGGTAATGGACATGTTTGGTTTTATTAATTTATGGAAAAACTTTATCTTTAAATTGTTGATTTAGTTTCTGTAATATTTAAGATTGAACATCGTATGCTTACACCAAAAGTCCTTGGTTATCCCCTTCCTTGCGGCCCACTCCGTACATTCGGTACATCGTTTGTGCCACAGTCGTGCCTTGGGTTTTTGGACGTACTTTGTCTTTCCGGAATAATGTTCGAACATATTTTCCCTAACAATGGTTTTTATTTGCCACAGAAAAACTCTGTCTTTAGACTTAAAACAAATAATTTTCAATGGTTTTTATTTGCCACAGAAAAACTCTGTCTTTAGACTTAAAACAGCTGTGGTGTTATAAGGCTGAGCCAACTCCAAATCCTCAAAGTCGCCCTTCTCCCCTTCCGAGTTCAGGTTAGGATCCTCCACTTCACCAAAGCTGTCCTCGTCCGAATCCAAATCGGAGTATAGGGTTATACCCCTGTCTCCAACCGTTCTGCCGGTCTCACAAAGTTCTTCCCTCACCAATTCCCGGAAATCCTCAAACCATTCCGAAACTTCCGTTGGTCTTCCAAAGCGAATCCGATCAAAATCTGGTGATCCCAAAAGGGTTACACCAAACAAAAAGACGTATCAAACCAAGGGAGAACGCTCACTCGAATGCTAAATCCATGGTGTATGATATCAATATTTTCCGGACTAGTAAGACATCAAACGTCGTGACTTATTTCCGCAATCATGTCACCATCAATTATTCTTTCAACATCACGCCGAATCTCCAGACAATCGAAGTAAAGCTGCATGGATATCAATGTTCTGCACGGTTTTATTTACATTCGAAAAAGTTTATCTCTATAAATATTGGTTTGTTTATGATAAATTCTCCCGGAATAAAATTAATTCCCCAAATCTCTATAATGCGCTTTCGTTCCGAAAGTGTACGTAATGTTTATGTGGACAATCTTCTTAAAATGGAAAGCGAGAAAAATAACATTAAAAAGATCCTCACATTTTTGGGGAGAAAGGGAAAATCCTTCAGATTTCTTGATAATGTACATTTTAATCGTATTTTCCTTCAGCGTCTTCTTCCTAATTTCCTTCCAAATTAGTTTGGGGTTTGGTTGGTGTCGAAGAGGTTATCAAAACGTACGGAATCTGACGCGTTCCCCTGGGTAAAAAAGTCTCAATTTCTTAGGTTTCTTGAGAATGCGTTCACGGCGGAGACTTACTCTCGTTTCGTCACCAAAATCAAGAAATAATATCAGAATGTTCTCCTGGACAAAGCATTTCGTACAAATTCGGCAGTAATCATTTAACTCATACAATAATTGCATTAAAGAAGCTGGGATACCACAACAGCTTAACACCAACTACAGGGGGCCTTTACAAAATATCAAAGTAAATATAGAAAACAGAAATAGTTAACAATTTTTCGCCGAAGGCTAGGTGATTATCGGTGAGTAGGGACAGAGACAAAGTCGAAGCTTTCATTTAACAATAACCACCGAGCCTGAGGCGAATAATTGTTTTAGTATAATTTCGTAGGTGATTATTTGGGAAAAAAATTAAAATACACATTTATTCGTTATTTAATAGTAAAAACGGCTTAGCCCGACGGCCGCCATTTCGAAAATCGGTTAGGTGATTATCGCGGTTATAATCACCTCAACGGCAACCAATCAGCGTGGAAAATTTTGAATAATCACCTATATAATTATACTTAGTTTACTTAAGGTACGTTTACATGCCGCGATCCGCCGGGTACGACTCATATTCTGGCGAATCCAATCGAGTTGGCACGCGTCAAAATGCATTTAAAGTTTCGCTTCAATTAGTCCAGTCAAATCACTGCAAGCACATGGTCCTGATCAAAGTAATCGCAATAGATTTTTTTTCAGTGGTAAAGTGTGGGAAAAGTTGTTCTGATTAACATATTAAAAATCCCCAAAAATCCCTTCGGTGGAACATGGGGAAAATCAAGTTTTTCTTACTTCTACCTATAAAAAACCATTGCGGACAAAATGTTGAATTTTGAAATTATTTTTTTGCAAGTATAACATGCATCATTGGAAAGCTTATAAAAAACTAAAATATAGATCATTAAACGGTTACCTTGCTTTTGCCTATCCAGCCCAGGTTATACAAGATTTAAAATGCCATAAATTTGTATTTTGTGCAAATTTTGCGCTATTTTTCCAACTTTGAGCTAGAATAACGACAAACTGACCAGTAAATTGAATATAACGGTTTAATTGACCTTTATATAGTTTTGTTTAAGCTTTCCAATAATGTATGTTACATTTGCCTAAAAATAATTTTAAAATTTGAACATTGTGTCCACTGCAATGGTTTTCTATAGGTAGAAGTAAGAAAAACTTGATTTTCACTAGTATTTTAATAAGGACACCTTCCGTCACATTTTACCACTGAAAAAAATTCTATTGCAATTTCTTTGACCTCTCGTCACAGATTGACTGGACTGCTAAATTCAGATTTTTGGAATTGTGGCATCAAATGAATTACATACACCAGAACCCGAATCGCACAGGACAAATCGCAATGTGCAAACGCCCCTCTAGTAACAGCAAGTTAATGGTCGGATCAGGCTTCTGCTTGTGTTACATTTTACACGGACAGTCTTCCAAGTCGTGAATCGTCAACGTTCATGTAGCAGGATCGTAATGCAGTCATATTAATTCGACTACATGCACATATTAATTTTTTTGGCCGATTACCACATTTATTTTAAGCTTATATATTTTAAATGTTTCTGAAGCAGAGTTGCAGAGCATTAGGCCATTGGAATAGAAGTCGCTGATTTGCGTTCACCGCCCGCGTGCTCCAAACGCTACTGCGTAAAAATTTCATTATTCAGAAAAAAATTCATTATTTGCAGAATAAAACTAATTAACCGTTACAGAATTTCAAGTTCCAATTCGACTACAAAACATCATATTTTCAACATATTTGGCGTTTCGACTTAATAATCGCCATTTCGGACTTGTGACCGTACTTGCGACCTCAGTTCCCGCCTTTATACTTTTAATAATTAATCGATCGGGGCTTGTTATAAAGTTTTAATGAAGCTACAAGTGCAAGTGATTGCATGTGCTATTACCAAGGCAACCAAGCGGTAAGGTGTCAGTTGTTTTAAATCGATTTTCATAGTTTAAAAATATGTATATTTTCTCCATATTATTATTATCATTATTATTATTAATTTTGTGTGTTTGCATATGGGCTTTTCAACACTCAATTACAAAATTATTACAAATTAAATATGTATATATAATTGAAAATTATATATTTTAATTATAAATAGCTACTAACTAATATGTTCTATATTTAATTATAATAAAAACGATTGTCCAGTTCAATCTGTATTTAATACAAGCTAAAATTTCCATATACCTTATGCTAGAATATAAAAATATACTAGGCCTATTATGAAACTGTCTTATTAACTGTTCTTTTAGTTTCTTCTTAAATTTATCAAGGTTTGTGATCATTCCATATTTTCACTGCCCTATAATGGAATGTTCTCTGTCCCGAAGAGGTCTTGAGAGATGGTATGTCTAGACTGTCATGATTTCGAGTTGGTCTGTTATGAATGTCTGAGCGTTTAACGAACTTATTTGTAAGATACTTGGGAGCCAGATTATTGAAACACTTGTATGCCATTATTGTATCTCTATACAAGAGTAGTAATTCTATGGGAAGCCAGTTGAGTTCTTATAAACTGGGTGCGATATGACCAAACTTTCTAACTTTTGTAATGATCCGCACTGCAAAATTTTGAACTGTTTGTAATTTTTTGATGTTCTTAGCAGACGTATTTGACCAAATCGTAGAACCGTATGTCAATTTGCTAATCACCAACATATCCACAATTGATTGCAAAGTTTTAACATCAAAGCTGTCCTTCACTCGGTTTATTTGGCACAATTTTCTTATTCATGATGAAGTTAAATTAGAAATGTGCTCATTATATGATAAAATTGAGTCGAATGTAGTTCCGAGATCTTTGGCCGACGTTACAGGTTTCATAGTCTGTTTCAAGAAATTTAAAGATATATTTGTAGGTAAATTCTGTAACATGGGTCTCGAACCGATAAGGAGGAATTTAGTTCTGTTTGGGTTAATCAGCAATTAATTTTCAAAACACCATTTGGCTACACTGCGAATATCGTTTTCCAACTTGACAATTGTTTGTTTTATGTCTTTCATACTGAACGTCGACGTAGCAGTCGATATTGCTTGATAGTGGGATCGACACATTTCAATTTATGAAGGAGAATTGGATGGCTTACACTGTCAAAGGCTTTTGACATGTCTAATAAAACTACTGCTGTTACGTTTTTTTTTATCGATTTCTTCCAACATTATGTCACGTACGAGAATGTTTAGAGTCTCAGTGTAGTGCGCTTTCCTGTTTCCGCTCTGATGAGGTGATAAACGATGGTTGGTTGTTAAATATGAGCTGAACTGGTCTAGAGCGACTCTCTCACAAACTTTTGACATTATTTCTAAGAGTGAGATTGGTTGGTTATTTGAGGCAACTTCGTTATCACCATCTTTATGTAGTGGTGTTACTTCTGATAATTTCTATTCGTTAGGAAACGCGCCTGTCAGCAGGGAAGAGTTTATAATGTGCGTAAGATGGTCCAAGATAACTGGAAAACAGTCTCTAATGATACCCATGTTTATCTTGTCGAGGCCTGGTGATTTATTTTTTGGCATTGCCATAATAATACGTTGGACTTCAGTGCAAGTGACAGGCCTGAAATTAAACTGTTGTTCTAATAGATAAGTTACTGAATTTAAGAGCGGATTTGTGAGTATGATGTTATTTTCTTTGGCAAGATTTGATGCCATTACAGCAAAATTTCTCCCCACGGATGTAAAGTACTGATTAAACTCTTCTACAAGTATCTTAAGATCTTTGATATATACTTGCTTTTCTTTTTCTTTTGATGGGATAAAATTATTAACTATCTTCCAGAGAGAGCCTGAGTTGTTTTTATCTGCTTCAACTTCATCAGAAAGATAGTTCAGGCTTGCTGCTTTTTTAAGCTTGTCCTTTACGTTATTTCGAGATTCTTTATAGGCTTCCCATTCTTTTTTATCTTGCGTTTGCAGGAATCTGCGGTGAAGTTTATCTCTAGATTTCATGTGTTCTTTTATTTCACGTGAGATAAATGGGTTTGAACGACTTCTAACTTTGAATGTTTTTACTGATGCATGTAGATCAAGAGTATTTTTGAACGTTTCCAATTGTGTGTTAACGTCTGTATCTGAGAAAATTGACAAAAGATCATCTGATTTAACCGCGAGGTCGGAAGAAAAGTGTAAGGGGTCGTAACACTTGTAGCTTCTCGCTGCAATATAACTTGGTGGTATCTTTGGGGCTTTCACTTTAAGTATGACATATACTGGAAGCTGGTCGCTAATTGCAGAATTTAACACACCACTTTCGAGTACAGACGCTGTGTTCGAAACGAGAATTACATCGATAAGTGATTGTGTTGTATCAGTAATTCTTGTCGGTTTTTTAATTATTTGTTGGAGGTTTAGCTCTGTGGAGACTTCTACGAGTGCTTTTCTGTCCGATCCATTATGGAGCATGTTGCAGTTTAAATCTCCAAGTACAAGATCGGTTGATTCATACGCATAGGCGTCGAAAGATCGATAAGGGGTACCATATTCATATATTCGAGTTCTGCATTATTAATTTCTTTTGAAATCGATTGTTGTCAAGGTAATTCCGCAGTTTTGCATTGCCACTTTTACTGCGCACATCTTATAACTTATAATTTCATCCATTATACGTACCGTTTAAACAAGTATATGATTGCAAAACTCTTGGAGTGACTGTTGACCAGCATTTGTCTTGGAAGAATAATACTGAAACAATTTGCAAGAAAATAACATCCGGGATATCAGCTCTTCGTCAAATAAAAGAATTTGTTGAGAAAGATACACTTGTCTCTGTGTTTAATTCTATTGTTCGCCCATACTTTACATATTGCTGTGAAGTATGGGATGTGTTTGGTGAAACACAATCAAAACGCTTCCAAAAGCTCCAAAACAGAGCTGCTCGAAGCATAATGAATATGAGCAATGACGTAGATCATCTGGTTGCTTTAGATGCTTTAGACTGGAAGCCACTTAAAACGGAAAGAATAAAGGCTAAGTTCAAACTGATGTTTAAATTGTTGAATAAAATGGGTCCTAAATCACTTACTGATTTATTTACTTTCAAAAGTGAAATGACAAATTATAAACTTCGAGATGTTGAAAGTACTCTTTGCTTACCACAGCCGCGTACAAAAAGCTTGAAAAAAAGTTTCATGTTTGACGGGGCACACATTTGGAATTCTTTACCAACCGAAATTAGAGAGAGCAACTCCATCATGTCCTTTGAAACTAAAATCGCTACTCACATTTTTGAATACCATATATATTAATTGACGAAGGTTCGGTGTATCTTTAGTCATATATAAAGACTGAAACCACAGACAAACCAATTACTGTTAAAAACATGCTAATCCTGCTATAATATGGACCTTCTCTATTAGTATTGTATTTCACGGTATTTGCCATGTAGGCTTTTAAAACAATCATTGAAGAATAAACAAAATAATTGTTATTGCGGTTATCTTCACAGGTATATATATATATATATATATATATATATATATATATATATATATATATATATATATATATATATATATACATATATATATATATATATATATATATGTTAATCACCGTAAGTAAGTATTTTTTAGTGAACAGGAAAAGTTGAGACTGAGTCGGATATATATATATATATATATATATATATAGCTTAAGATTTTGGTTTACGAAACACAAACAGTGCTCAATACCATATAGATAGAGCGTAATATAGTTTTTCGTTTTATCTCAAAAAACCACAACAGTCTGTTTCATGAAATATATATATATATATATATATATATATATATATATATATATATATATATATATATATATATATATATATATATATATATATATATATATATATATATATACAGGGTGTATCAAAAAAGCGCAATCCTCGACTGAAATGTAAATTGCTAAACAAATAATAGACGAAAACGTTAAAGTTTACATTCATTTTAAAGCGTAGCCATTCAGCTTTCTAACAGTGGGTTGTTTCTTAAATTTGACTCATTGGTTCGCGGGTAATAATACTTTACGTTATTGCGATTGGAGATTAAAAAAATTGAGATGGAATAACAAATCGTTCTGATGAAAATAACTGATTTTTTCATTAAAACAAAAAAATGTTGCATTTTATTAAATGGATTGTAACAATAAGTATAATTACGGCTTTTCTTCCACTATTTTTAACTCAGTTTGAAACTTCAAATGCGATATATTTTTGGCTTGAACCATCTAAGCTGACTGACATCAACTTGCTATAATTTCTGTTTACATTACATCGCAATTCGATGACACTCTGGCTCAGACACCAGAATGTTTTGACGATTTGTAGCATTCGTTTAGGATTTCAAGCAACCTGGTCTCTTTTAAAATACTTTT